CCTTTTTCATTTCCTCAACCAATTCTCTCTCTCACTCCACACCCTCTATTTTTCATCTACCAGGGTAGCTTTCATAAAAAAAAATACCACCTTTTAAATGATGTACAATTTAATTTTGTATTTTCCTTTCATATATTTTATGAGGTTTTTCATTCGTTTGCATTCCAATTCTCTATTAATTAATTCTTAATTTTACTCTCCTCCTTCTCATTGCAAAATTTATCAATGTGATCTATCAGCATCATTTTCCTAATTACTTGCTGAATCTCATTCCAGAACCTACAAATGGATCCAATATTTTCTCACTCACTGTCAAATGCTTTCAGCACTCAACCGCTACTGGATCCAATGCATTCCCTCAATCCTGTATTTAATCCCCAGCCCTGAATCTTTTTTAAAAGAATGGAAACCATATTTCTTGGCCAACATTTTCAGTTCATTTTTATTGCTTTAAAAAATGTTGAAACTAGTTCTTTTATAAAACTATATTTTTATATATTTAGTCAAAGGTTTCATATTTACTCATTTTCAAGAATGTGCAGGTAATTCTGCCATCCAGGTTTTTTTATATTAAAAATCAGAATATCTGAATTCTAAACAGTAATAAAATAAAAATAAAGAAAACATGGTCTCAAGCCTGTTTAAAAAATTGTTTGTATTTACAAACATATGAAAATGAATTCAAAAGAGTCAAAATAGAGTAAAAATAATATTTAGTTGAATTAAGGCCTTTGGGTAGTTGATGCACTGAAAATCTGTAGTTTAAAAAAGACTTTGATCATCAGTGAAGATTCACTGACCATCTGAGCTGATGTTGTTGGAGATTAGTCATTTGAAGTCACCGATACATGTTTCTTTCAGGACATGCTGGAAGGAAGGAAAAAGCTATGTAGCAGCATCTTATCTGGTGAGACAGTCACATATCTGCTCTGAAAGTTTTAATCTGTGGGTTTTTATTAGAAATTTTTTTTCCCAAAAGTAGACTCGAGAAAAATAGGGTTTTACTTTTCTCTGGTTAAATATTTCACATGGTGATGTTAATTTGTAACCAACAGACACTTTGATTTAAACAGTGTATGTTGTACTGTGGAATCTTTTTGGCATGTTTGTAAATATTGTCTATTATTGGGTAGAAAATAAAGTTCGGGTGTATTTTAATATGGTATGTATGTGTGTATATAATGGTGTTGAAAATAGAGTTTATTGGCTGTAAAACAATTCATTTTTGTTTGAAGAAGTAGTTTCTAAGAAAAGCTGTCATTTTCCAACAATTTATTTTTTTTATCTCTACAAGGGGGCACTGAAAAATTCTCAGAATGACTCACTTTCCAAAATCCAACAAGAAAAATATCAGAATTTTACTTTTTAAGATCTTAGTCAAGGCAAAAAATATTTGAATATCATGAGTACTTTCTTCATTATCTCTCTATTTCATTTTATTCATATCTATCTATCTATCTATCTATCTATCTATCTATCTATCTATCTATCTATCTATCTATCTGTTATGGGGTCTACCACTTTTTCATACAAGTGGACTCAACCAGTATGTACTTGTACTGTTGCCGGTGAATACCTGGAGGGTAGAGTAATAGAGAGAGTAAGAGTGTGAGGTAACCGCTTTGTAGGAGTCACAATTGCGAGCACGTAGACTCAGAAGGAAGTCATACTTCGATACTGAATTTCCCAGACTGTTTATATATTATTATTGCTACTAACCACATTTCTGGATCTACTAACCGTATTACCAATTATATTATTATGTCAATTCCTGTGTTTGTCATTCATTTGAGACCGGATTTCATCTCGGAATCCACAACACTATCTACCTATCTTAGTCTGTTCATGTCTATCTATCTATCTATCTATCTATCTTATCTATCTATCTATCTTAGTCTATCTATCTATCTATCTATCTATCTATCTATCTATCTATCTATCTATCTATCTATCTATCTAACATTGTTTCCCTACAGTTTCCATAAAAAAAAAACTATAAATGGTCTTAAGTAGGAACCCAAGTTTTTGTATGCTTCTTAATTGTTTACATGTGATCACCTCCTTCTAAAATACACACAAACATGCAACCCTTTAAATTCTATATGTGTTTTCAACAAGTATGTTGTGTATTGAAGTTTGTAAATGTTCATGTTAGTTTAAATGGATCCTCATGGAGCTATAGTCCAATAGATATGAGGTTAGCTGTTTTTATGAGCAAATAATAATACGTAATTATTCATGAATTGGTTTTCACCAGGAATACAGTTCGCTATTGGACATTTGAATTTATAAATAATGCTGGTGTTGCATAGCCTGGATTTCATTGGAGAGTTGCTGGTGCTGATAATAACTTTGGCTGTTTTAAATTCTATAATATTAATAATATAGTGGAATCATTGACCATCTTTAGGTTGGAACATGAAATAGACTTTGGTGTAAAGTTGTGAAAAAAAAATGAAAATAATTTTGTTATGCCCTAATGTAAGAAAATTACAGTTCAAAACTGGTAATGCATTTTGCTGACAAAAGGCAAAAGATACCCAAATGCAAGATTTGGGAAAAAACAAAGACTAAATTGAACAAAACATTTAGTTAAACAGTGATAAAAATACATGACTGAAAAATATGTGACATGATCCGGCTTTATAAAAGTCTGCAAAAGAGGATTATTTTCTTTATCTAAGATTCCATAAGATTATCTAAATTTAATTTTATTAAGTCACTTTAGTTCACTTTTTAATAGCATTTACTTTGCAAAAATCAGAATTTTGATACCATTGGAGTAAGTTTGAACCAAAACTTAAATGCTGATCATCTCAGGAGATTGTGAAGAAACTTGAATTTTTAAGACAAAAGACAGAATTTTTCAAATGAAAATTTAATTTATTTTGGGTTTTAGTAAAAGAAAATAAAAATTCAAAAAATATTTACATATCAGGTTTGCTGCTGTACATTTCATACACTACATATTTGAAAAAAAATTCAGTATGTTTCAGGTGCATTTTAAGAAATGAAATGTTATTTTAATGATACTTGCAAAGCAGGCAATGCTTGCACAATCATTTTGCAATATGAAAAAATTATTGAAATCTTTCAAAAGTGAAAACAGTTATTGATTTGGGGTAAAAAATAAACATGTCTCTGAATCTTTATTGACATTTGATTATTTAAGTAAATCTTAGAAAATAATAAAAAAACTATAAAAGGTCATTTTTCCATTCAGAGATTTTCAATATTTGTGTTGAATTTAATGACTTCAAATCGTCTTTCCATATTTCTAAAAGTCTCAATAAGCTTGCATAAGGACACAAGAGTAAAGCACTCAGTAAAGATCAAACTTAATAAATGAGCAATATTTGACTATGACTGACTTGTTTACCATTACTTTAAAGTGTGCTGAGTGAGTACAAATATTTGGCAAACATATTCTAGTCTGGTATAAGGCCACAAGAGTAGGGGACCAAGTAAAAAAGAAACTCACTACATGAGTAATTTTTGTGTATGACTGACTTGTTTACAATTATTTTATAATATGCTGAATTAATCTAAATATTTTTAACACATATTCTAGTTTAGCATAAGGCCACAGGGCTACAGTTTGTACTGAAAATTGAACACATTATAGTGGTTTTGTGACAAGTGACTTAGAATTAAAAATATGTAAATGAAAAAAAAAAGAAGTGAACTGATTTTTAATAAAATCAAGAAATGTGTCTATTTTTTTTTTAAATTTCACAAAAGGCAGTTTTCAGATTTGAGAGTTAAAGGTAAAAGCCAAAGTTGGCATCAGAATATTGTTCTGTCATTTTTTCCAATAAGTCTTCATATTTGATATCATCTTGTAGCCAGTCAAGTGAAGGTAAATCAAAACAAAAAAATACCACAAATCAAACAAGTCTGGATATACCATTGTCCTTGTTCCTTTCGTTTCTACTTTTAATGCTTTTCCTTTTAGAAGGGGGAAAAAAACAACTTTTGTACTGATTTTTATAGTTTTAACCCCAAGCAAAAAAAACCCAGCTCACCATTCTCATTTATTTGGACTACACTTAATCAATAGGTACTTTTTTTTTGTCAATAGGTCATTCTTTATCACAATTGTGTTACACCTTATAAACACACACACAAATATTGCTTGATTTCTATTTGACAGGAAAAAAATCACAGTTCACACCGATCTCTCCCTTCAGTAGTGTCATTGGATTCAATTTGATTTTTCTTGTCATTTTTACTCAAATCAATTCTGGAAAATTCCTAAAAGCCTTGTAACACTAATGATGCTGAGATTTGAAACCTTTAGACATATCATTTGATGTTGAAATCATTATGTTTCACCTCCAAACATAAAAAGATCTTATGTTATGAAAAAGAAAAAGAGAAAACAAAGTCAGTCTGTGACACAGTATTGCAATTATATCAGTGCATTTAGAAATCTATGCATGATTATTCAATTAGACTTTCAAATGAACATCCTTACATTTATCATTTTTATACCATTTCACCCAGACAGTAGATTAACTGAAATGTTAATCATTCTCAATTTTTATGTATTCCATTTGTAATGATGAAGTTCCATTCAGACTGCATTTTTCCTACTTTGTGGAACAAACTCTCACATGGATGCTTCCCTGAACACTACACTCTTAAAATATTCAAACGTCAGTTATTATCTATCCTCCTTATCCTCATAATATTCACTTCTTACCACCAGTTTTTACTTTAGTGTTTCATTAACTTTTTATGGCTTATCAACCTTTTGCAGCCAGAAAATATATTTAGATTTTTTGGAGATAAGAATAATTTTTATTGATAAAAATACTACTAATTAACCCATAGCTGGGAGGGAGAACAAGTGAATTCATAGCTTTGCTAAGGGTATATGTAGGTTCATTTTATGCATACGAGTGAATGTAATGAACCTGGCTGGAATTGGAATTTGAAGAGCCAAGTTCCAATTGCAAGCTCGTTATCCATTACACTACCCATACATCTAAGCTTATAGTACCTGATATTCCCAAGTGATCACCCACCTAGGTACTGAACAGGCTCAATATTGCTTAACTTCAGTGATTGTAAGAGAACCAATGTTTCAACATGATATGGCTGTAAGCCACCTGTTCTTACATTCATATAACACACCTGATTCAATAACCCATTACCTTGATTTTCTCTCAAAATTTGTATTGGGTAAACATTATTAGAGTTACTTGGGTGATTAGATGGTACATTGTAGCATTCAGCCATGAGAGTCAAATCTGCCTTCATGCAAGTGATGACTGTTTATGTGCATTCACCCATGACATAAAAAGTTTAACCCTTGGCATCAAATTGTGGAGTACAATAAGTTTCAAATCTTGTTCAATTTTGCTGTTTAAAGTTGATTGATTGATTGATTTGTTTTTTATGGCTTATCACCCTTTTATGGGTTATTTAAAGTCAAAACACATTTCAGAGGGTAGTAGATTACTTACAATAGTTAGTGTTCCCAAGCAGTCTCCCATCTGAATAGGCTTGACATTTCTCTTTACAGAGAGGTCCTGAAGAGAACTCTGTTCATCTATACCCCTGTATTAGCCAATATAATCTGCAACATGTTTGACAACCCTTCCCAAGATCTGTCCCTATCAAACATGTAAGAAATATGGTTAAAAAAACACAGAATCCTAAATCAAAAAATGTATAAGCAAGTGTTAACATCCAAGAAGGATGTACAGCATATTAGTATGGAGTTTAAATTCAGTCGATACAGCCAATATTTTTTGAACCTAAGTCCATATTGATCATTTGAATCCTGCTATATTTTCCATTGTTCTAATCTTAAGTAAATTGTAGTAGAAGTTTATTTTTTCTCAGTATATTGGCATAGGAGTGTATAACAAAGTTATGTAAAATCATTTTGACCCAGACTGCCTTATCTTCAATGTTAAAAATCTTTGAATTTACAAAATGAAAACACAATTTATAAATGTCTTCCAGCAAAGAAAAATCTGGAAGAAAGGATCTACTGTGATTTTGTCATTTTACATTTGTTTCTAGGGAAAAAAATGAAATCTTTTTAAAAAGAACAAACATTTTGAAAGTTTCAATTTGCAAAGTTTATAAGGTCATTTATTTATAGATCATGAAGAAATGATTCTGCTGCTGCTGCCAAAGGTTGAAAACTTTTGATACCCAGGATTTTTCACTATTTCATTCTATTTGTATGCTCTGTCTCTCTCTCTTTCTTCTTTTCTCTCTCTATCTACTTATACACACACACACACACACACATGTGGTCAAATAGTAAAATATATTCTAGAGCTTAGTATGAACTAATAGCTCTGAGTAACAGATTCTAGTATTATAGTATTAATATTAGTATAATAATAATATATATATATATATTGTCATCCACAGACAGACTGTTTCACTGTATTACAGCTCATCAGTGTGGCTAGATGTCCAGTTGCCACTAGCTACAATCAAAACCCAGCTATTATAATTATTTTTTTAAAAATATGTCTCCATTGCGACACAGAAGTTACAAAACCAAAACTTAAATCTTAAAATTTAACTTTAAAATTTAAACTTAAAATTTGGAGCTTGGTTCTCTTCTCAAGTGATACAAAGAATAACTTACAAAAAAGTTTTTTCAAGTTATTCTTAGCGTTGTAAATGAGTTGAGGTAGGCTGAGATGATGGTGGCTTTGAGAGGCCAGTTCTGTGGAATGGAGGTAGATACATTGACTGCGAAAGGATTGCCTTGTAAACAAGTCAAGGTAGAGCTGTTCTGTTGAGCGGATGTCACTGGGGTCAACTGTGAAAGGAAAGTCTTGAAAATGAGTTGAGATAGGTTGAGGTGACAGCAGGTGTTGAAAAGCCAAAGTGATAGGTTAAACCAGGAAGTGTTAACAGTTGTTGAGATGTATGATCATGTTGAGTGGTGGCGGTGAAGGTGGTGATGGTGGCAGTAGTAGTGCTTTGTGTAGTTGTCGGTCTGCAAATCTGCTGTCATAGTGACAAGGTCATGGCAGTGTTAGCAGCAACAGCAGCAGCAGTATCAACCTTCATGATGGCTGGCAGACATGCTAGCTGCGACTGTTTGGTCATCCTCAGAGCTTGCTTTTAAGAAGGTCTGGTAGTCCCAAGGGATATCTTTTTTACTGGCAGGAACAGTCCTGATTGGCCTGCACCAGAGCTCACTTCATAGACTGGATGAGGAGCCCAATGTGCAGAAAATGACTTTTGTTATTTCCTTTTCTGCCTTCGATGTATTCACATCCGACCAGTGTGCAGAATGAATCAGAATGAGATCTAATTATGATGGAGTATAACATTTTCATTGTTCTAAAACTTCTACAAATTCTTTCCTCTCCCTTTCCTCCTCAAGTTTTATATCCTGTTCTTTTCAATGGAGATATTGGTCTCATTTCATCTTCTTCCATGTTTGAGTCACTCCTGCTATCATCTGTAGGCTCGTCCTCTATTGCATTTTCCTGATCTCAAGAACTCACACTTTCTTCTTTGTCAAGATCTTCTGTCATCACAAAATTCTAGTGTGTTGTCTGATATCAATGTTTTAGGGACCTCATTTCTAGAAAATAGCAGTTTTAATATTTGCTTTATTGTAGTCATTTTTCTATCTTTAACTTTAAAAACTTCAGGCCATCCAGAAAAGGAGTCTACTAAAATTAGAAATAGTCCCATGTCGATAATGTATGCATGGTCCATATGAACATGAGACCAATGTTCTATTTCTTTAGGTCATGAGTGTATTCTCCTTTATCAAAAATTCTTTATTTCTGCACATTTTGGGCATCTATATATATATCTTTCTAGATGCTTCCAATTTTACTTTCATATGTGTAATCTTTATCGTGCAATGCACATCATCATGTGCATTTTTAGAAAATATCATTTCTTACTGTTTCTTGTGGTACTATCACATCTCCATATAGTGTCATTTTCCATCGTTTATTTAAGCCTTATCACTTTATAAGGTCTTTCAGCTTTGGAACAATTATGCCAGCTTTTTTTCTTCTTATTATTCTTTCAGCAATCTTGCTTAATATCAGATCATGTAGAGTCTTTGATGCCAATCTTTATAGAGGTAATATGCCAATTTCAACCCAATGTGATATTTCTTGATCCAGGATTTTCATTTTTTTCTTTTTGATCCTTATTAAATTATAACCATGACAGGGTATCAACAAGTGGTATTGTATTTCCTTTTATATACTGTACATTCCAAATATTTTCCTCAGTAGAATTATACTTTTTAATCAATTCCAGCTGTTATATAACTTCCACACATGCAGTTAGAGTTAAATTATTCAATTGTAATTATTCCAATATCTTATATTTATGAAATATATCAGCCATGCCTTCAATCGATTATAACTGAATTAATTTGCCCTTGTAGTCAAATGTTGAGTTCCCAGTTTCTGAAATTCGTAGAATTTGATGACGTCTCTTAATCTGTGGAGATATTGTTTAATTGATTCATCTTGTTTCTGTTTAATGAACAGAAATTTGTTTCTTTCCATGATGACAAGTTTCTTTTTAGGTAGTAAACGTCTTTTTATCATTTCTGAAATTTTGATGAAAGTCAACTTTTCCAATTGTTTGGGGTATGCCATAACAGAAATTTTCATTATAGCTTCACAACTTACCAAAGCTAGAAAGACGTCATTTATATCATTTTCTCCCCCTCTTGCCTTGTCTTTCAATTTCTTAGTCCTAGCCTGGGTGGCAAAATACTGGATCCAAGTCTCAACAGATTCTGGTTTGTCCAAGCAACTTAAACCCTCCTGGCACTACCATATTATTCTACAGCACATGCTCAGTAGTCAACTTCCTCTTGTCTGACTCTTTACACAACACTATTTTCTCTGTAACCAACATATGCAAATAGGTAAAATCCTATCTGCGGATCACATTATATATATATATATATATATATATATATATATATAGAGAGAGAGAGAGAGAGAGAGATAGATATGAAATGAGAATGAATTGAATATAAATTCCAATATTCGTAACATTAGTTTAAAAGAGGACTCAATACAATAGTAGAACAATATTTTTATTTCAGGATACTACATCAAAAACATGTGAATAACACTACACAAATACAATTATGTTTCAATGTGTATTAACACATCTCATCAAGCATTAGTAAATGTAGACAATTTATTGAAATTTAAAATCACATACAACCTCTTTTCATGCAAAAAAAGGAAGAAAAGAAAAAGAGAAAGAAAGACACAAGCTACAATCTCTTTTCCAGAAAAAAGAAAGAATAAGGAAAAAGAGTAGAAACAAAGAGGGAGGAGATAGTAGCAGAATTTATTTTGTTTATAATCAGAACCACCAATCAAAATGGCCTACACTAAATAAAAGGTCATGACCCACAGATTTAAAATTGTAGACAACTTAGACATTATATTCAATACAAATGGAAGTTTGCTACAATGTTAACATAAGACACATGACATTACCTATGAGAAAAGAAAATATAATTTAACAAACACTTGACAAACTGCATACCTTGTGAGTTAAAAGCTAGAATTTCACAATTTTATAGTCAGTAAATAATATATAAATAATGTAACAAAATTATTAAAAAGATATAGATCAAACAAAATTATTCAAATAAATAGATCAAAGAAAACTTTAAGCATATAGATCATATAAAATTAATTAAAAATATAGGTCGTATAAAACAGAATGTGACTGTTAACTAAAGGGTCTTGTATTGAGTGTTAATAAAACCAGCCAATGGAAAATGTCAAAATGTCAGCCAAACGCATATACATCTAGACTAAATATTAATAGCTAGAAGAATAATGTACAAATTATACTACATTAAAATTGATCTTACTGACAAAAGATAAGCTTTATATGGTGCAACAAGGTTATTCTAAAATATAAGAAGAAACAATTATTAAATTTCAATGTCTAGCAAGATTGTAGAGTCAAAGATATGATATGTTTATAATTAACTGTTAATCAAATCTTTAATTTAATAAATCATCCCCATTCAAAAATCAGATAATCTGCATTTTCTCCTGTAAATACAGAAAACAAGTTTCATATAAGGATCTACATGTCCTTGCCAAATTTT